GAGTAAAAGTGACTTCAACAACCAGAATGTATTTTTGATAAATATTAGTAATAACATGTTAGTAAATATAATTATATTAATAATCGTAATAACTTTTTATTATTAGAATTAGTAAGAGACTTATGTATAATAGAACTGCATTAACTTTGGGGGATAAATATAATGATTTGAGTAAATATTATTGTTGTTTATTACCTCGATTAGAGTAATGTAAGAAAATATTTTTTTTATCTAAAGAATATTTGGCAAAATTCAGTATTTCCTAAGTATTAAATATTATAAAAAATCAAGTGTTTAAAAAAAATGTATCTTAAAATAAAAAAATAAGTATTTGAGTATAAAATAAACACATTTATTATTATAATGTATATACATCACATTAACTATGTTACATATAAAGTAGGGGTTGCAGCTGATATTTAAGTTTCAGCTATAAACTCATTAGCTTCAGATTAATACTGAAGGTGATCAAGTCAGTTTAATCAGCTTGGTAGCTGATAGTAAAAGAGAATAATACTCCATAAATATTTTATGTAAAAACATATAGGAGTTTATTCAATAAAAATCTAAAATAGTGACAAAATTTAAACATACATGTAAAAAATTTTAAATAAAATTTGCCAAAAGTTGTTTCTATTTATATATGTTGCCATCAGAGCCTAGGCCTAGGACTCACAATATTAGGGGACCCAAATTGGGTTTTTAGAAATTTGTTTAAAAAGTGGTGCTTATCTATCTAATTTCCTTTTTAATTATCTTGAGGGGACCAACTATCTTTTGTTCAAAAAGAGTACACTTTGCAAGTATTTTATAGGTGAAAAAAAAGAAGAAGAAAAAACGATAAAAAACTTTATTTTCTTTTAAAAACATATTTTTTTTCAGAGTGAATTTATTTTGCTAAATGAGGATGTTCATCTAATAATGTAGCCGCATCTGAACATATTAAATTGCATATTAAATTTGACTGTTAAGACGGCAGATAATGTTTTTACCGAAATTTGCAACTTCTCGCTGCTCCAATAATCATTCCTTAGTGAAAATACCCTTTCAACAGCAGCATTAGTGCCTGGACAACATAAAGAAATTTTCTATTTAAACTTTTAAATTTTTATATGGAATATGTTCTACTCTAAATTGCCGAAAGATTTCTACCCATCTTTTGTCAAGTACTATTTTATCATTGTTCCATTTCTTTAATTTTTCTTCATTTAAATATAAATTTACTCCTCGAATTTCTTCAAAGAGAAAATTGTCATTAATAACAATATCCTTTACTTCTTCCATTACAAATTCGAGTGCTGAAAAAACTTATTTCCATTCAATTTTAGTCCATTTGAAACAATTCAATGCTCTAAAGTTCATTATCCATTCTTCGATATATTCATAGCAAATTTTATAAAAATTTTGAACTTCTTTTAAAAATTCATTTTTTATTCTGGGGTTGGAATCTTCCAAAGCGGTCAGTTTATAGGCTTTAATATAGCCTTTAATATTATATGTAGTAGTGTATGTATATATATTTTTATTTAAATTTACTTGTAATTTTTTTTTTTATATTTTTCTGCAAAAATTGTTTTCTATAGCTCTATCCTTCTGAACTTATGTGATTAAGTTTTTGTTTTCTCTTACATATTTTCTCACTCATCTTATCTCATCCGTTCATTTTTTCTTTTTTTTTTTCATTTTTCTTAGCGTTACTTCTTTATATTTTTGTGCTAATTCCAACTTTTTTAATATTATTGTTCCTTATACTTCTTTTTTTATTACTTATGTTAATGTTTATTTTCTTCATTATTTCTTTGTTTTAATATTTTTTTATTTTATTTGTTTACTTTATTAAGGTTTCGCTCCATTGACTAGTTTTTAATATGAGTGACACCAAACATAAATTTGTAAATTATAATTAAGTTTGTAATTTTTGATTTTATGGTTAGTTAACCATAAGCGCATGCGTAGTATGTACAGTAAGGTTTTTTTATCCTTTTATTTAATTAAATAAATATTTAATTTAAAAACTTTGCTGTACATACTACCCATGTGTCAAGACAGTCAAGCATGCCGTTCATAATGCACATTAAAGATCAGCCTGGGGTTAACATACATAAATATTGACAAGCAATATGTGCGCGTAAAATTCAAATCACTGTCAAATAATTTTTAATATTTAATAAAATTGAAATGAAACAATCTAACAAAATGTTTTAGAAATACAAATAAGTACAAAATTATACAAATGAGTACTTTCAGAGTACAAGATTTGAAAAGAGTACGGTTTGTGAAAAAAAAGTACAAAACTCAGTAAATGAGAATAGTTATCTACATAATTTTTTTTAATTATATAAATAATTTTTTGGTAGATTTCAAAGTTCTTGCAAAAGATGGTTATATCTATGAAAATATTGAGTTTAAAATCAATCTTGCTGTTAAGCACTAGCTAGAGCATTTGTAAAGTGTATTAAAAGACACAATGGTTATAACTGATGTGAGTATTGTGTTTAGAAAGGACAGTGGTGTGGCCAGATAATTCTCCTACATATTTCACTAATTTTAAGCACTGATTCAGATTTTTTGTCATCAAAAGCATTCTGAACATCTTAGTGGTGTGTTAAATTGAATTAAATTTTGACATGGTGACAAAGTTTCCTTTAGACTTAATGCATCTAGTATGCTTAGGGGTAATGCGAAGATTTGTCAACTTATGGTTAAATTGCCCAAATTTTGTAAATTGTCTCAGATTACAGTCAATACTTTATCTTGCGGATTGTTCCAGATACATCATTACATTTTAAGAAATTTTTCTAGAAAATCAAAGTCTTAATTAGATATTAAAAAACGGAAAGCAACTGAACTTAGACTATTTATAGTATACCCTGTACCAGTTGTTTAAAAGGAATGGTTTAGTTAAAAATCTATTCAAACTTTTTAGATTTTTCAGTTGTAGTTCTAATTTCATAATGTTTTACTTTGTTGAAAAACTATGTTAATTTTGCTTTTCAGCTACTTATTTTGTGCAGTTTTATATGTGAACTTTATCGTAAGGATCAACTAGTGTACAATGTCCATTCATGAGCACATATAGGAAATAATACAGTTAAATTTTAAGTACTTGATAGATGTCCCTCTTTCAAATACAAAACTTTTTCAGGTCAATTAAAAAAGCTTGTTCAAAGACCAAAGGGTTGCTCAAATAATCATGTACAAGAAGATAAACAGGGGTTTAGTATTCCTTATTTTGATGGTAGTAATCATTGCATTGAGACGCTGTTTACAGTTGAAAAATTATAAAGGTTTAGAGTGTCAACTAATGAAAGTGATATTTGTTTTGAAATTACAAAAAAAAAAAGATTAAGGTAAAAAGGTTTTAAAAAGCAGACAAATCTTATGACAAACAGGTTATGTTTGAGGAATTTGAAACTTTTTAGTCATTTTCTAGACACACACACACACACACACAGATATACAGATATATATATATATATATATATATATATATATATATATAT